ATAACGCTAGGCGGGCTGACCGTGGTTAATGGTTAACGACCCTCTACCGCAGAACGGCATCCGTACGCAGCCAACGCTTTGAGCATTAGTCATTTTTGCATTTTTGAGTAGTGTCATCTCTCCTTTCATAGTATTGGGATATAGTCTACAGATTTTTCTGTACACTCTCCTATAAATCACCAGTATAACTTTTTCTAAAAATTTGTATAAAATTGCTCTGCCACAGTAAGAGCCTAATGTAAATCAACTTGCACGTTCGGTTTCATACCATGAAATGTTTCCCTACATTCGTTTTTCTCGCAACAGTAGCAATAAGGTACATGAGACCATAATTTAAGTTGCTGTGCTTCTTAGTCGTTCTCTTTCACCGTGACATGATACTGTTAAAGAACATTTATATGTAAAAGAATCTCATAAAACGGCCGCGTAACAAGAGTAGCGAATCACTTTCGTCCACACTCAAACTTTACTTTTCCACGGTATAATCCCCATTGAAACCTGTCTCATCTCCCTGTTTAAGCCATAAATGAAAAGAAATCGATTTGATGGGGATCAAGATCACAGATTTGTACATTTTTTTAATCGACAAATGATGAGCAGTTCTATTCCTGAAAGTTTGAAATACATTTGTTAAACGTAACTTAACAGAAACCTTTCTACTATTGCCATACAGTTGAAAAAATATAACTACTTGTGAAATCAATATAACCAAGTTCTAATGCAAAGCTGCTTTTTAATCGTCGAAAACTGGCGAAGCATTAGAAAACAAAAGATATAACAGTTAGGGTAAAGCTCATGTAAAGTGTAGATTTTTTTACTACTTTCTATTAATCTGTCGATTTCGAACTTCAAATGAGGAGTGTTTCGAAATAGCAACTCAGGTCTAGCTTAAGACTTCCAGAAGTCAATGCTCGTAGGGCACTGTCGTTCTGTGCTAAATTTCGTCAGCTGGACTTCAGAATGATAGACAAAAGTAGGCTAATATTTTTCATAAAACCTCGTAAACGTTCGTCTCTCATCGTCCAGCCTAGCTAACGAGTTACGGTATTATCCAAAATACCTCTTGGGTGGTGACTTGTGGGAGACAGAACCTGGAACTGAAACAATAATTTTATACAACTCTGCTTGGAAATCGAAAATGAAGAACTTAGAGGAATGTGAAAAAAACATAGAATTTACGTGATTTTTATCACATGTGTTAGGCTTTTAAGTTCTCATGCAGGAATGTTCATCTAAAACTTCGTATTGGAAAGTAGCAAAACCAGTCAACAGCTGTCTTTCTTGTTTAAGGTGAAAGTAATAAGCAGAATTATTTTCATACGACTGTAGTCTGTCAACTTAATAACTAGAAAAAGAAGCAACATGAATCATTTTCGCTCTGCATCAATAATATTAAAAAATAAAACTTATTTGCACCTTGCCATAATGTAAGATTTTATTATTGACAACTAAACTACAGTAATTATCTTCTTAAAGAAAAGATTTCATTTCTGAATAACATTGCACTTGATATAATGTTGATGATACAAATATAACTAAATATTTAAGTTATATGGAATTATCAAGTTATATTTGTGCAGTTCAATATTAAAATTTTTGAATCCAAAAAGTTTTACTTTGAGTTTTTATCTTCAAACTGAGCCAGGGGTTCTTTAGCTTCACTATTAAGATTATTTCTTTTGAGAATATGTTCTGTATTTTGAGTTTTAATTAAGAACACCACAGACATTCACCCAGCAACATTATTTTCACTCCTCATGCAAGTAATAAAAGCACATTTTGCCACGCACAATTGCAATGTTTCCTTATTTATCTTCGATTCTATTTAGAACTGGACATTGTATTCAATCGCCTTATCTACGAGAAACATACTTTATTGGGTTTCAAAAATGTTATAAACATTAGTAGATTCACTTCCAAGTACTCTGATGCCCTAGTTGTATGAGAAATTTAATCTGAAGACTAAGACCACAAAACTCATGTCAGATTGGTATCGGTATGTTATTTTGTCTTTTTTGAGATTTGATTTATACACAGGGAATTCTTTTTTTTTTACGTACCTACCGCTCCTGTGGCTTATCAGTAAGATTGAGAACGTGTAAAACTAACTTGGGTTCAATCTCTGTGGTGGGCACAACACAGATATCTCGTTGTGTGAGTTTGTGCTTAATAACAATCAAAACCTTATATCAACAAGTAATTTAATTAAACTCTGTCTGATGATTGAAGCTGAAATCTGACGTGGTTAAATGTAAGATTATTTATATATATATATACATACACCCCTATTAATAATTTAGAAAGAAAATATATTGGTTTAAAAATAAAACTAGATTTTATTGGTATCGCTGTTATGATTTGTACAAAACTATTTCTCTGACATATTCAGTTATTAAATCTCGTGTTATATTCAAGCTCCATAGTACTTTCAATCGAGTAAGAAGTAACGCTAAAACATGGATAATGTATTCTGAAAGTAAACGAAAGCTATTTATAGTAGTTAATGAAGGGAGAAAAATAACCAACTATTAAATCTGAAATATGTATTTTTAGTAGTGTTGTTTTTAATACGAATATACAGTTTCAATAGCTTTCTTCTGTTACACTCCATTAATTAAGTGTGTGCTAAATTTCGCGTGGATTCAAGTGAGTGTGGATGACTGTTGTGAAATTACCCTCTTTCCGCCACACACAAAGATTGACCAATGAGTTTAGTTGTAATGCATCACAAATTCTGGAATTTGCAGCACAAAATCAGCACTAAATATGTGTTAAAGTTCATACTAATAAGATGTATGTGTGTGTGTGAAATAACCCTCTTTCCGCCACACACAAAGATTGACCAATGAGTCTAGTTGTAATGCATCACAAATTCTGGAATTTGCAGCACAAAATCAGCACTAAATATGTGTTAAAGTTCATACGAATAAAATGTATGTGCGCGTGTGTGTGTGAAATGTGGTGAACTTTCATCAGCTTAGCGTCAGCTTGATACGACTAGGTGTAGCTTATCACCAATTCTAGAATTTGCAGCAAAAAATAGCATAAAACAAGCATTAAATATGTACCTTGCTTGAAGAATTTGGGAGTTGGAGTGAGGGCTGGGTAAAGTTAGCCTACCATAAAGATTGCCCTATAAGTCTAGTTGTAGTTTAATGCAAAATAGCATAAAATCAACACTAAATACATGCCAAGTTTCCTATAGATCAGAGTCAGTAGGTGGCTGAAGTGAAGCTAGACCTCCTTCAGAAAGATTGCCCCATAACTGTAGCTATAGTACAGCACAAATTGTGGAATTTGCTGTACAAAAATTGCACAAATCAGCAATAAGTGTGTGATAAGTCTGGCTAACTTTAAAGTGGGAGGGTTGGTTGCCAAATTCACAGACCTAAAGAAGGCTAGCTTTATCCAACAAATATGTTGTTTGCTATACATACACAAAGATGATCTTCCAGACCATCACACAGTATCACCGTAGTACTAAAAACTTATCCTCTACTCGCATCATTTACGCCCCTCTCACACCTTAAATTCGCTAATTTCGTTACATTCTTTTTATCGAAATCCTGAAGCACTATAACATATATCGCAAAACTTATGCACTAATTTGTTGTTATCAACGTTATACTCAATAGAGACTTTCTGTTTTTACCCGAATATAACTTATAGTGTGATAACTCACTATATTAATAGTGGACCGGGCGCGGTGTATAGTCTCGATGATCTATGGCTCGCGTCTCGTTTAGCAGAATTGCGCTCCACATCTTGTGGATGTGGGTACATTATAAAAGTAACAGCCAAATCTCACTTATCGATTAGAGTAGCCCAAGAGTTGACAGCGGGTGCTGGTGACTAGCTGCCTTCCCTTTGATCTCTCATTTCAAAATTACGGACGGATAGAGCAGCTATACCTTGTGCATATTTATACAAATATACGAAACATACTAACAAATGTATATCTCAGAAAATGAAAATTTGTTGTGATTTTCTCTTATGCAAGCACGTAACGTTGCAATTAGTGAAATAAAATTCATTAGTTACATAATATAAAAAAATCTTGCTGTTTCGAAATGAGTTGATATCTGTAAATAAATCATTAATTTTTGTCCTCTAACCACTAATTAAGTGTTTTTCAACTTCGGTAAACAACTGGTCAATTTAACGATTATTAGACGTTGGTAAAATGTCTATGAGGAGTTAAAATTAATTCTTAATTAAAAATTGTTTTCAAGGAAAGAATCAGACAACTATAAAGCAAGGAACTTTTAAGAACTGTTACAATATTAACAAGGCTATGTTTCGCTATGTTCCATGTTTCGCTATGGAACAGCAAGTAGTTTATGATTTCAGAAAGTACTTTCATCATTACCTAACATTTAAACGGAATTTTGTTAGTTAATTTGTTTTCTCGGGAACATTTATGGAAGAATTGTTTTACTAAAGTTAGTGATAATTATTTTCAAACTGGAATGTTTGGCACATTATGTTGAGAAAGTACAAAGAACTCTGTAATTGTTCTTAACACCCTCTCCAAACATGTGTTCAGAACTTAGTTAGTGTTCAGGTTTCTGATGAAGGGCTTTTCAGATGGGTTAGCTCATATAAACCATTTACATGTTCTGTCAGAAATTATAAACGAACTTGAATTGAACATGCTCCTATCCTGGAAACGATGATCATAGGAGAGTTCGTGAGGCACCCAACCACCTTCTTTATGGAATTTACCCATATTCCTTAGATGTTTACGTATTGTTTCACGAGAGACATGCAATTTCAGGGCCATTTCACGAGGGTGTTGCCTTGGGTTAGATCAACAAGCGTCTTCAGAGCATCAATATCAATTCCAACATGTCGGCCCCTGTCATCACTGTTTTTAAGGCTAAAGTCACCTGAACGAAATTTGCTGAACCGTCGTTAACACTTACGAACGTTCAAAACATTTCCATAAACTTCTTTGATATTCTTTGTGGCTACAGAGGCGTTGTTTCCCCACAAAATAGTTGAAATTGTTTCTTCATATTACATTGTCATTTATTTCTGCATGTACACACGTTTGTCACTACATAACAGCGTAATGCTCAGTTACCATGTGCTATATTATACATAAACACATATTAAAATATCAAGAACAGCAGAGAATTATATCTATACGAGTTAAATTCCTTTGTTATATCAACGACTAAGAAGACTTTAAAGCTTTATCTACTAAGCCCAAGTCATCTTTTAGGTAAGCATTTATGAGTAAAGCAAATACAACGAATAGCATTCATATTATTCAGCTTGTTGTACGATGTTAAGATCGATACGAAGTCATTAAGAGTCTGACAAATACGATAGAGAATATTACGAGAATCAATATGATAATATTTTCAAAAAAAATATGACCCTCTTCAATAATATAGACAATCTCATATATATATATATATATATATATACTATAATAAGTAAGTAATTTTTTCTTTAATTAAGCCTTGCACATTATCCTGCAACAAGTCACTGTAGGCAACAAAGGTCCACTATGACTCAGCTCTATGTATTATTTCAGAACAGATTTTAGATATTATAGCTGGAGATTTAATTAATTTTATTTCTAAAGTTATAAACTTCTACGACAACAATGATGATATTGGACAGGCATATTAATAATGATACTCAAACTTGTAGAATTAAACAGCAAAAGAAATCCGATAATCCGAACGTTTATGAAAGTTATCCAGCTAATTCCCAATCCAATCTTAACAAAAAAGGTCTGTCTTTCGAAAGCGCTTGGGTTATTGGATATATTATTATACAGGTAAGAGAAATATTTTGAAATACCCTAGTTTGTTAAATATTTGCTTAAGTATTTGGGTTTTGTGATTTGTTTCTACGATCCTGCATAAAATGTTAACACATTTAATCCAATAGCAAGACAAGATCATAAGTTTTAAACTCTGACTGTAAGTCTAAGGCTGAAGATGCAAAGATTAGACACAAACCCAAAGGGAACTTAAACCTTCCAGTTTTCACGGATGTTCCTTATGACGTCACAGACGGATGAAACCCATTCTTCCTTGTCACGATAACAATATCTAACCCAGCAAAACTGAATCCATTTATTAACCGATGTGGTTGTTTAAAGTTAAACTTGAAAAACACTTTTTCCAATTGGTGAGATACACTTCCACAGGGTTTTAACTTTTGTAGTTTTATCACGATTAAGCATTAATTATGAGACACGTTGCACAAAATTAAACTAAGTTTAAAATTTTATATTTTATTTTTCTGGTACACAATTGGTGCTTTATTAAAATCAACACATTTTTGAGGACACTATATGTGTATTGAAATGGTTATTTAATCGTACAAGTTAGCTGACACGCTTACATTTACTGTCAGGATGTACTGGTGCCGACAAAAATTAATATGATTGTTATATTGTATGGGTGTAATAAAACTGTTTTACAATGAGGACAGATTAATGCTATTGTTACATATAATTGTTCTACTAATACTAATACACTAGTATCGAAGTGTATTCTAAAAAAAAACTTCTAAGAGAAAATGGTTTTAACTTATAAGAACTCAACACTGTTCTCTAGTGTCCAAGTAGCCCAGAAACTTCGCAGATGAAAGCTAAAATAGCAGACTTTGTAAAATACAAAACGGATTTAACAAACATGTATCAAACATAACCAAGAGTTTTGACGACTATTGTATCTTTATCTTTTAAGTTTGGAAAACGAGAGGACTAGTCTAACAACTAACTATTAATCGCGAAATACATCATACGTTTCATTTCTTAAATATTGCAGGTCGCATTCGTTCTGTCTGATAGTTTTTTGTTTTTAATTTACTTTCTATATGCTAACAAGCATGCAATTCAAAGCAATTTAAACATTATTTAAAAAAAAGTGTGAGAAGTGAAAGGAGTATCATTTTAGCCAGTTTTGTGATTAACTTTAAATTCCTGTTGTTTTAAAGAATGTGTGATCTGGTTCAATGTACGTATTATTTGAAACCGTATTATTTGCTGCCAGTAGGTATAAATATGCTGATTCACAACCACTGATGAGAGGATCTTCTTATTAAATCTCAACTGATAGCACCATTTTTTCAAGTAAATTTGAAGAAAACAACTTTGATTCAAACAATAAATTGTGATTCAAAGCCCCATTAAAATTAGGATTCATCTCGTTTTCCTTTGGATAGTCTTGCTCGTATCTAGCTAAATCAAACTTACATTGCAAATGCGCATACTGTTAACAGATTTTCGATTATCATTTCAAGCAGCATTGGACTTTCAACGCTTTATTTGGGATCCAATTTTCTCCTTTTGACCACTAGAAACTTCATGCAGTGATTGAATGAGAGGACACTTGGTTTTGTTCTTAATTCTCCAAAAGAGAAATGAAAGCACGCGAACAGCCCCAATTAACGTCATGTAGCCCGTTCCTCTTTTGGTAACAAACGTTGTTTAGGAATGAACGGTTTCATCGTATTTTTCTAACACAGCCGTAGACGAATTGTTAGCTGTTTTGAAACTTATGAGCCCGTAATGCTTTTAGACAGTTCTTAAAGAAGACATAACGTTATTTCTCAATGAGATACCTAATAATAGTCAAGAAAACTGTCTTATTTTATAGCTAAAGCAAGCAAAAAGAATAAGAAGAAAAATATATAAAAACGGGAGAATATCTGTATCATAGTTCATTATCAGATCTTCGTTTCTTTAACTACCAGCTTTATTTTTTTTAGCTTAGTCGATACATAAGCATTATTTAATCGTTTATCAATTTTATTCTGAAGAAAACAGAATCACAGCAACGTCTAGGACAAAAAACTATGATAAAGACTTGCTGTTCTAATGCACAGTTTGAATATCTAATTAGAAACTATAAATAATTATGCCCTCTTACTTTACTTTTTTTAACATACTATAAAATAACGAGATTACAGAAAAACATTCAGATATATATAAAGCCTGGACTGTTCCTCAGAGCTAGGAACAAATTATCCTACCATGGAGATGCAGCAGATTTTTGAAGAAGCTATACGAAAATATCCTCATTCTTCCCTTTCAAGTCAGCAGGCCTAACTGTCAGTCAGTCACTTGGAGGTTCAACAAATGCGCAAAGTGGGTCACATTTGACAGTTTGTTGAAAGAACAAAGTTTATTTCTCATTCGAAAAACAGCGTTTTTAAAACTAATATTTCGTAAACATACAAACCATTTCATACTTAATACTACCCTGGAACCCAAAGCTCAGAAGTTATGGTCTGACAAACACAAACTCGTTGTAGTGGTTCCATCGATTCTCTTCCGAATCCATCCCTGGCTTAAGTGGCTCGCCTGGACCCCCACAGGCCGTTCCGGAACCTGCTGCTGCGACACAGCGGAAGCTAGCTTCGTTGAGATTATCAAAAGCTTGCTCCAAAAAATTATGTTTCAGGAAAAACCGTGCCGTGTAACGGTCATTGTTACACCTGTCCGGGTCTCGGCTTTCGTTCAGAGTTTCTCCGAATACCTCACGGCAAAGACCAACCTTGCCACACACCAATATACGAGTCAGTTTTCGGAACTTGACGTCGGCCAGTCCATCTCTTCCAAAAGCAAAAGTCCCTCTGTAGCTAACAGTGATGTATCCAGGAGGACCCACGGAATGGGGAGTTACCGCTGGGTTAAGGGGAACGGACATCCGATGGGAGTGGGACGGTGCCGGTGGCAGAGATGCAATGCTGGCTACCATAGCTGGAAGATGAAAATATTCTGCTTCTTGCTTCAAACGGTCGCGCTCATGAAAATTTTCCGGAAGAATAACCTTTAGGTTACGAAGATAATCCAAAATATAACGGAAGATTACGCCGTCACGGTCAATGAAGAACTTTCCCTTGGAGTCTCGCATCACTGTTTTGCTGCCTTTACCAGTAAACATTTGACCTAGAAGAGATGTGGGTTCCTTGGTCAGAGTGCTTAGTGAGGTCGTGTAAAATACCCCGCCTACGTTCAACTCCACGACCGATGGAAAGCTCACGGTGCGGATCTCCTGGAGGCCTCCTCGAGTTGGTGTCACAGACATGATGTGGATCCACTTTGGTAAGAAAGGGGTCTGTTCTGTTGAACAAAAGGCGCTGGATTTCTATGATTGGAACCAAAGCGCTAAGTTCTATGGAAGAATACCGATAAACTACCAACAGAATGAATGTAATAACACTTCAAATTCAGACTCTACATTTACATTAATCGGTTTTCTAATTTTTTACTCTGCATTCTTTCACGGGTTTTGAAAGAGCTGGAACAAATTAAAGGTTCAGACTCAAAGCTACCTAATGATGCATGATACGTTTTTGAATTTCAAGAGTTGCATAGCAGGCCTGATCTTCCACTAATCATCATGGCCAACTGTGCCTATAAATGACGTGAGATCTAGCCCGACCACCACTACTTGTATTCTACTAATGCTACAGATCAATAAAGGAGAATCTACTATCATAGATGTGGCACCATCTAGGGACAATAATGCGTAACGGATTTTCACACAGCTAAGAAACCTTAAATTCAGTGTGTAATCACATCAACATTCAAGACTAAAAAAGGGATTTTCAATTTTTTAAACTAACGAATGTCCAGAGTTTCTATGTAACATTGTGGTGCTTCTATCCTTTTACACGGCTGCTTGTAAATGTTAATTTCAAAATCACAGAAATATGTGTAAAACTGAAATGAATGTGAGATTCTTGAACGTTTTATATTTTAATCAACTCTTCGTTTTTTCTTTAAGTTGACGTGTTTCATATACCTTTTTCTGGAGAAAAAAGTCTCTCAAAAGGAGAGGTATTGTTCGTGTTTGTTTTTGTTTTTTCGCTTTTTTTTTTTCGTACGAGAAAATAACTTCATTATTTGGTAAACTTTGCGAAATAAAAATTGTGTAGGTAGTAAATCATTATTAACACAGCAAATGTATGTTACAACGTCCTGTGCGGGTGTAATACGTGGACTCTACCACTAGGTGGCTGTCGACTCGTATAAAAGATTGTTTCTTTGTTTATTTATTTGTAGTTAAACACAAAGCTACACAATCTGTGCTTGTGCTTTAGGAGCATCGAAACACGATTTTAAGCATTAGAAGCCTTCAGACTTACCATTGATCCATTGGGTGGGCTCATTAAGAGCATATTCTTGTTAAATTTGGAAATTCTTCAATCAAGCATTACGTACACATGTTTTAGCAAAATGTAACATCGTTATCTGTAATGAAGACTGTAATAGTTTATCAAACTGACAAGCTATTAATGAGTGTATGCTTACTAGAGTAACGTCAACAAGAATCGGGAAATATTTTCTAAATGATAAACATAATAAAGTCTCCAATTTTGCGCTGCAAAATTAATAGATTTTGAACAGCCTTAACATAAAAAATAATCTAAGAGGTTTTAATTTCACCCCAAAATTACTACCTTAGAGCCTATTGTGTCCTTATGCCAATTATAATGACCCAACTCTTTTTTTCATCCTATAATTAACGCGCGGATAAGAAAAAAACATAGTAGTGAGTGCCCCATCGCAATTTTTCAAATGGCAATGTATGTATGAATACAGAGAGCATTCGCAGGATATTTTATTATATTAGTGCTGTATGAATACAGAGAGTATTCGCAGGATATTTTATTATATTAGTGCTGTATGAATACAGAGAGTATTCGCAGGATATCTTATTATACTAATGCTGTATGAATACAGAGAGTATTCGCAGAACATTTTATCATACTAATGCATGTATGAATACAGAGAGTATTCGCAGGATAATGCTGTATGAATACAGAGAGTATTCGCAGGATATTTTATTATACTAATGCTGTATGAATACAGAGAGTATTCGCAGGATATTTTATTATACTAATGCTGTATGAATACAGAGAGTATTCGCAGAACATTTTATCATACTAATGCATGTATGAATACAGAGAGTATTCGCAGGATATTTTATTATACTAATGCTGTATGAATACAGAGAGTATTCGCAGGAAATTGTATTACATTAGTGCTGTATGAATACAGAGAGTATTCGCAGGATATTTTATTATACTAATGCTGTATGAATACAGAGAGTATTCGCAGGATATTTTATTATACTAATGCAATAGCGTGTAGCTGAAAGTTGCGATTCATTGTAACACGTGCGACATGTTTCTCACAGCGAGTTCGCGACCACATAACATCAGTGAATATCAACACGGATAAGCTTATTGTTAGAGAGATAAGTCAGAAAATCACAGTAATAAAGCTGAAGGGAGCGGTATCGTCTGAAACCAGTAACAGCATAATAAACCATTATGATGTCAGAAAAACACGTAGGTTCAATAAGTCTTGAAACAAAATGATAAAAACCTTATAACCCGAGCTCTTTCGAAAGGTGGAGCGTTCTTCTTCAGGGGCAAAGTGAGCATAATAAACAATATTTTGAATTTGTTAAAAAGGTTATAAGTTTCTAAACAAGTATCAAAATCAACGGATATTCTAAGCATGTTTATTTCAGTTGTGAATTGTTTTAAGATTTCTATTGAAAGACCATCAAACTTGGATGCAAAACCCAAAACTTTCTCAAGCAATAAGTGTCAATCAAGTGATTAATTTCCATGGTCCTTCAAGGTTTTATTAATTTTATATCTAAAGATTGGGATGGTTGCACTAGTTATATACATTTTACGGTGCAGTGTAGTCGATTGAAAATGCTTCTGCCTGGAAATACCGTTATGGCAGAGAGAGAGAGAGGTTTTAATATCGCAAATTTATTTGGCATCTTTGGTGTTAAATTAGGGATTGCTGCTTTTACTCTAGTAAAAAAACTACAAGATATGAATGGAATTTATTGAACAACACATTTAGCATCTATAAGAATACACATTGAACGAGTAACAGGAAACTACAAGAAGTATCCTATACAAGATAATGCATTCAAATTACCTTGCTACAAACAAATGAAAGTACTGGTTTCACAGTATTAGGGAAAATCGCCAGAGTACCATGTGACTTAACAAATATTTGATTAAAGGATGGTTATTATTTCCCTGAGAGATATCAAATGTAACCAAAGACAGTAGATTACGTTTCCTACCAGTTTTACAACTAACAAAGTGTCTTATTTCTTGGATTTTTTTTATCCTTGCATACATACATTCTTATTGCTAGTCTATTTGATATTTTTTCTTATGAAACAAGTCACTGAAGCCACATTATGAGGAACGAATTAAATTCTTGTAAAACGTGTTATTTCAGTGAACTGTCTGGATGATTTGTGCACGAATGAACTGGAACATTTACACGTTTTTATTTCGAAGCGTTACCTTTTATAGATGTAAGTGGTTTTTCACAATTAGTACTTTCTCTAATTTTTACCAACTTTTTCTGGAAGTTGAAAATACAACAAAGTCTTCTAGAGACTAATAGGTGTGTTAATGGATCCAACAGTATATCATTCAAACTAAAGCTAAATATCTATGATTTATCAGACTTTTAACATAATTTTACATTTTATTGTTTGGCTTTGTATCTTATTATTTTCTACTTAATCATCTACTAGTATAAAATACATTCAGAAATAGTAAAGTGTTTTGTTTATTTCTTGAATGCCCCCAGTGTCACAGCGGTATATCTGCGGACTTCGATACCCGTGGTGGGCAGAGCATAGATAGCCCATTGTGTAGCTTTATGCTTAACTTCAAACAATTTGTTGAATTTCATTTAATTTCGAGTGACGGATTAGAGGGAAGGCAGCTTGTCAACACCTCTCACAGACTGTGGTGGGGATGTGTGTAGAGCAATAGCTATACATGAACCACGAAACCTCAGATCCACAGTCCGACACGATCGGCCAAATATAATAAATGTAAGTGACTGAAGTTGTGAAATGTGACAAAATGTTCACTACTTCTGTCGGTAGATCCATTAAAAGTTGAATAAAGATGCTCCTTTTAGCATGCTCCCCAATAGCCCAGCGGGATGTCTGCGGACTTACAACGCTAGAATCCGGGTTTCGATACCCGTGGTGGGCAGAGCACAGATAGTCCATTGTGTAGCTTTGTGTTTAATTACAAACAAACCTTTTAGCATATTTTTATAGTTCACAGAATGTGAGATATGTCTATATTTGTAAGACAAAGTAAAATGTTTTGTGTTTTCAATCAAGAGTCGTACTTTTATATTAGGTCGTCAAGAAATTAATGTCGCGTTTTGGAACACTTTCATTAACAACCCCCTAAAAACGTACATCACGTATACTAGTTAAACGAACCGCTTAAACGTCACGTTAGTGCAACCTGTATGATGTGTAAAGTTTAGTATACTCTAATCCCTTATAGTGATGACACACGACGAGACATCCCTTATAGTGATGGCACACGACGAGACACACATTCGGCATGTAATACTGTTTGAATACAAGAAAATTTCTTATTTGGCATGAACCTCACAAAATATCATCGATATACGATTTGAAGATAAGATACGCGTTTTAACCAGAGGACGTTTCGTTCTTGAAAGATTTATATAAATGGTATTCTTATTTGGCATGAACCTCACAAAATATCATCGATATACGATTTGAAGATAAGATACGCGTTTTAACCAGAGGACGTTTCGTTCTTGAAAGATTTATATAATGGTATTCTTATTTGGCATGAACCTCACAAAATATCATCGATATACGATTTGAAGATAAGATA